CCGGCGGCTGGCGGTGGACGGCCGTGGACGGGATGGGTCTGCCTCCCGCAGTGGGCTGGGTCTGTTCTGTTGGTCCGTATGGAACGGGTCTGCACTGCAGGCCTGTTTGTACTCGGGTCTTTTCAGTCTCCCGCAGCGAGCGGGGGCCGGTTCGCAGCCGGGTCTGGACTCTGTTCTGTCTTTCGGAGTGGGTGGTGTCAATATTTTTTTTTTTTTATCGGACTGGACCGGTTTTCTTTTGTCCCCCACAGTGCACCGGTTAGGCCCTACTCCTGTCTCCCGCGGCGCTCCAGGCCCGTGTCGTCGTTGTGAGTCAGACATTTCCTGTCTGCCTCTGAGCAGTCTGAGTTAATTTGCATACTTTTGATTAATGAAACATCCATTTTAGTTTATTTCAACTGCTGCAAAGCAATTGCGTCCAAATGAAGTGCTCTTTCACTGCCAAGATGGATGCCGTTCGTCGGCTGGTGCCGACGCCGGCTGCTTGTCTGCGCCTGACTCGCAGACGAGCTGCCGGCGAACCGTTTACACGTCTCGGTGGTACCGGGAAGGCGGGATGCCCTAACAGAACTCGACTGACTCACAGTCGGAGAGCGACGAGACTCGGCCGGACAGGGGCGGCCTTCGGACACCATCCGACTTATGTCGCCGTTCATAGCTGCTGCGCGATTTCCGCTCGCACTGTGCCTAGGTGATCTAGCATACGACGCGCCCACAAGCATGCATGCTCTCGAACTATAATCGGCATTTTATTTGGCGGAACCAGGTCTCTTCCGTAGCACCGCTAATAAAGCAGAGGAGAGGCAGCTCCTTCCTGCATGGAGTCTTTTGAAGCCTGCTCATTGCATTGATTGGAGACGCCAAGTATCCGGCTGGCAGTGAGTTTTGCAGAGATATTATGGTCAACTGGACGCCGCTTTCAAACATCTCTGCGGAGTGGAAGCATTTTTCTCTGAAGCTTGTTTGAACAGTGGTGTCCTGGGCCGAAGCTTTATTTTCATGGGTCATTTTGAAGCGATTTCTCTGGCAAGTGACGTGGGCCAGCTGCCTGGAAGCGGTCCTGCCCCCCCCCCCCTCACACTCGCCCCCTCCCTCAAACACCTGTCGACTCGACTCGGTTTAAATCGTCGGTGGCGCCTTCTACCAGCATCGCCGCTCGAACGGACAGGACAGCGGCAGACGCGCACTCTTCGGGAGCGGTACGGGTTGTCGAGTGGAGCACTGGCCGGCCCGGCTGCCCTCCGCTGATGTGAATGCTGACCCGAGCACTCTGCAAGTGCAGTGTGACCTCAGGTCGAGCATGGCGTCACGACGCCGAACTATCGGCAGAGCTGGCGGCGGTCCCACCGCTCGCCTCCGCTGCCAACTGGAGCAATGCGACGGTGGCGATGGGGCCCGTCGGGGAACAGGGCCGCGCTGACGGCTCCGGCACGTGCCACCCACTGGCTTTGTCTGGCCCACTGACCTTGATCCTGAAGACGTGCCGCGCTCGGGCCGGTGGCGGACAGTCGCTGACCCAGTCTCCCCGCGGCGCCGTGACCGGTCGACAGTCGTCTCTCCGCTGCGCACAGGTCGACAGTGTTGCTTGGTGCTCGCTGGTGGTGGTGACAGTATCGAACCGTGGCGGCGCGAAGGCATGGTGTGTCCCTGTCCATATCAACTGACACCAACAACCAGGTGAGCCTCCCGACCCGGCCACTCGACCGGCTTCCCAAATGGCACGACTCGACGGTCCCATCGGTCTCGTGTCGTCAGCGTCGTCTGTCGTCGTTCTGTCGGTACCACGTCTGGGGAAACCTAACCAGTTGGCAGCGTGCGACCCTGCTCGTGACACGTCAGCGTTAGCGTCCGTCTCTGGATGGATGGCCACCGAGCAGGTCCGGTTTGTCCGTTGGGCTGCCGTAGAGGGAAAGGGGTTTGGAACGAAGGGGATGAGGTTAGGGGTACTGATGGTCCAGGGAGGATAGATGTAGATTGTAGAGCCATAGAGCGCCGGGGAAGGGGTACCGCAGTGTCGAGCGGGGGTTTAAAGTCTGGACTGTTATCGCCGCTCGACAGTCAGTGTCTGCCGGCTGTTCCGTGCTCGCTGTCGGCTGGCGGTGCCCAGTTGTTTTATCCCAGCCGTCAGTTGAGCTCCCGGCTGTAAGTTGTGACGCTGGGGGTCGACCAGCTGTAGCGCCTGCCGGCCCTCCGCTGCGGCACTGCGGCGCCGCGGCCGAGTTCTGCCGCCGTCCAGAGCGGCGCCGTCGTCGGCAGCGGTCTGGCTGCCAGCTGGGGGCGTGCCACGGCGCCTCCCCTGGCGCGGACGGGGCTGACCTCCAGCCGAGGCTGGTCGGCAAAGGTTCAGAGTCGACCGACTCGAGAGGCGCCGGTGGCGGAGCGTCGCGCCCGCCGACATCCACCGAGCGCGCCGTGGGTGTGTGACCGAACGGCCGTCGGCCTCTGATCGATATATCGGCAGCCGCTGTCCTACTGGCCACTGACCCAGGCGTCGCCCGCCAGCTGGGGGCAGCTGTGACCCCTGGGTCACCCAGCGGGGTCATCGGTGACCCCTGGGTCCCCCTTCCGACCCGTGGACAGCCGTGACCCGACCTCGGTCACCGTGTGACCCGAGCGCTGGCCTTGGTCGGCCGTCGGCGCCGGCCGTAACCGATAGTCAGCTGGCCCGGCGCGGCGGTGGCGGTGGCGGCGGTTATTTCTGTGCTGGCGGGGCCGGGAGCCAGTGGCGCCGGCGCCGGCGTCACCTGTGCTGCCGCCGTGTTAGGCGGGCCGTGTGTGTGGAGCGCGCTCCTCTGGCGGTGCTGATTGCCTCTCGTGTTGATGGTGAAGGCGTCTTCGTCGCGGCGGATCGCCCCCCGTGGGCCGGTGGGCGCGTCTCTGTGCCTGTGAAGTTCGCCGCTGACCGCAGTGCTAGAGATACAACAGGTGAGATCCAGCAGTGACAGCTGACTCCCGGTCGGCGATAGAGAAAACGGCATGCCTATGAATTGTCCCACGAAAGGACGTCGGCTCGGCTTGTACAATTTACTGGTGGCGTTCATGCATAGCATTGAATTATCCCGGATCCGTTCATGCATGTCTGTTTGGCCGTCAACTTCAGCCACTGCTGCCATCAAAGGTGCCGGTCATCGTGACAGTCACTGGCTTCAGCCACTTTGTGTCGCCCACTGGTGTCGTCCATTAGTGCCAGCGACTGGTGTCCTCCACTCCGCTGGTGACGGTCAATGCCCACTGGTGCCGGCCAGGAGGCCACGTCAGTGGCGGAGTCCTGGCAGAGACCGCCCCACGCACTGGCGGTCTGCCAGCAGCGCGGCGGACCTGACGAGTTAGTGGATCCACCCCTGCTGTCGGCTAGCACGGACCTGACGAGTTAGCGGGACCACCCCTGCTGTCTGCCAGCAGCGCGGCAGGGGACGGTCGGACTGACGAGTTAACGATTCACCCTGCTCTCCGACGAGTTATAGTGGATCCACGCCTGCTGTCTGCCAGCAGCGGCGCAGCAGGGGACGGCTGGACCTGACCAGTCCGCGGATCTGTCCCTGCTGTCGCCCAGCGGTTCAGCGCAGACGTGACGATCCAGCCCTGCCGTCGGTTGTCAGCGCTCGGCCACTGGTGTTGCATCCTGTCGGCACCAGCCACTGCCGTCGGCTTCTGCGCGCTCGCCCAAGTGCACCCCTTGCCCTTGATGGCGGCAGAGGGCCGTTAATTATATTCCGTCATTAAACATGCTTCATCATTATTTATTTATACAGACATTTGATCTTCACAGCAGTCCTGTGTGGGATTAAATGGATAATTATTAATTAACTTTTGATGCCAAAAATCCTATCTTGTTCATCAGATGTTCTGCTGAGCATTCCTACCTTTCCATCCGCTATCTAACGAATAGTGTTACTCTATTTCAAACAACCTGCGGTTACGAAGTTGTTTGCTAGCTCCGTCATTGGCCGTGACACCGACCCCAGTCCCTCCTTCCCTCCCTCCCTCCTTCCTTCCTTCCTTCCTTCCTTCCTTCCTTCCTTCCTTCCTTCCTTCCTTCCTTCCTTCTTTCTTATCATCCTCCATTCCTTCCTCTCTCGGTCAGGTTAGCTAATAGCTCATCGCGACACTGTCCGGTCCATTCTTCCCTCGTAGTGCACCGCGGAGTCTTTTACCCTCTATCCAGGGTCTCGGCAGCCCAACAGCGGCAGCACACACACCCATGGCTCGCAGACACATCACACGCCGGTTGGCGGGACGCGTCTCTGATCGGTTCGCCGAGTCGGCCGGTCTTTTCACCCATGCCGGAGTAAACTCAGGCGGCGGCTAAATGATAGCGATGGCTGCACGTCATAACAGTGGAGCTTTATGAGGTGATTTGAGGCCAAGGTTGTCCGTCGGCCAAGTTGATGATAGCCTGGCCCCTGCCGTCCATCACACCACCGCCTATACTATGTGCGGTTGGTGTAAACGACCGTGGCGAACCTCGTTGCCGTGTTTTCAAATGGCACGTACTGAACTAGCTACCTTGTGTTGCTGAATGAGTAATAACACGTTATTGTTTTCAGTGAGCAGACTTAGAACTAGGTATGTTCTTGGCCATTTGTGCCCGTCAAAGGCCTGAGAACCTGCAGAGTGGTTGTGGCACTTATAGTCCCACCACTGACAAAGCGGACCGGTTAGTGGTGATGCGTCACTGCCGACGTTTGCGAGACGAGCCAGACGTGGCTGCGTTGTGGCTCTGGCGTGTCGAAACATTATGCCGGAAACCTGAGCTGACTACTGCACTGACATGACTGCTGACATGACCGCGCTCACCTGACCACACTGATCTTGCCTTGCTTTATGCTGGCCTGACTTTGACCATCTTGTACACTGACTCGATCGTGCTGATGTGCCCCTCGCGTGCGCTCATCTGATCTTAAGCCGCTGACCTGACCGTACTGCACCCTGACCTGACCGTACTGCACCCAAACCTGACCTCTGACCACTGACCTGACCACCTTGTTCTCTTCCGACAGGGTCGAGTCGAGCGAGGACTCGAGTGAGCACTCGGACGACCATGCCTCCGGCTCGCTGGCTGACGACAACAACAACTTCACCAAGAACATAACGATGACGTCGGAGGACCTGCTTCAGCCGGGCCACGTGGTCAAGGAGCGATGGAAAGTGGTCAGTCGAGCACCGGTGGCGGCGCATGCTGGTTCTCATACCCTCTCCTATGGCGATCCTTTGTAGATTGATTATTTACCTAGCTTGTTGCGTAGTTTAGACGTAAGTCATTCCAGGTATGCATGCTTACATCGATCTGTGATATTGTATTGTAATGGACAATCCTGAGCGATCCACATGCTCAAATTGTGTGGCGATTACTGCTCGGTGGTATGGATCTTATCGTAATCAACCTTCCAACAGTTATTGTTCACAGAACTCACTGCCCGTTCACCTCAATGTTCACGTATCATACATAGCATTACGCGCATGCAATGATTTACTCTCTGGGCAATCTGAGATACTTAGCATTCACTCGTTGATGACTATTCGATGATATTGAAATGACTTTGTGTTGCGTTACATTAACAAAGAAGTTATGTTCCAGTTCCCATGAAAATTAATTATACATGCAAGGGAAACCAATTACCAGCCTGATGTAATGCTTGCACATATGATTAATATAGTTACTTATTGAAACCTCCCGCATAACCGATTTTTGCAAACATAAGTCTACCTTTGTAGTTATAAATGGACAAGTATTGTATCGAGAGTACACGAACCTCCAGGCTCCACGAATCAAACTATTAAAACAGTTACATTTAAGGCGTACCGGTTTCGTCTATTGACTTCTTCAGCGCCATATGAAACAAGGAACAAGAAAACGAGCACAACATCAATCGTTTGAAATAAATAGCACGTATTTCTGAGAACAAGGTCAGAGTAGTCGGGTACCTCCTAAATAAAACGAAATCATACATATTTTCGTGAACATGTAATTACGGAGCGAGCGAAGCGAGCGGAGTCTTTCCTTAGATTAACGGAAATTTCTGAGTATGAGCGGCCGGCCGGCCGGCCGGCCGGCCGTGCGGACGCTTTTGCGAGGCTTATATCTCAGCAACCACTTGACCGATTTACACGCGGTAATTTTTGTAGGGTAGCTTCATTCCTTCTACCAAGTATTGGACTATTCCCGATGCATGTGGGTGACCCCTTATGCACGTGCCACGTGCAAAACGAAGAGGTGTCAGTTTTGTAATTGTTGCAATATCTCGGTAACTACTTGGCCGATTGCGCTGAAAGTTGGCATGTAGGTAGGCACCCACTAGGCACTGCATATCCATGTGCCAGAGTTGGGGTGCTGCTGCACGTGCGCACGTGCAGGGGTCGTTTCCAGATCTCGAGAACGGCTGGACCGATGGCGCTCAAATTTGGTACACGGTTAGGGACCAGTTAGTAGGGTGCCGTGCACAAGTCAGTTGGGACCCATTTTGCACGTGCGCACGTGCAGGGTGCCGCTCCCAGATCTCGAGAACGGCTGGGCCGATTGTGCTCAAATTTGGCACATCGCTAGAAACCGGTCAGTAGGGTGCCGTGCACAAGTCAGTTGGAGGTACCCCCTCGAAATTTCGCACGTGCAAGACTCACCCCCTCGCTCGCTCCGTTAGTCGCCCCAAAAGGCGCTATACTGGTAATCTATTCGCAACATGATATTACAATAGCTAAATAGTATTATATCAATTGACGGTGCATATACCTAATATGTTTTCACTTCTCTCTCTCTCTCTCTCTCTCTCTCTCTCTCTCTCTCTCTCTCTCTCTCTCTCTCTCTCTCTCTCTCTCTCTCTCTCTCTCTCTCTCTCTCTCTCTCTCTCTCTCTCTCTCTCTCTCTCTCTCTCTTTCTCTCTCTCTCTCACTCTCTCTCTCCCTCCCCTCTCTCTCTCTCCCTCTCTGTTCTTTTCCCACCTCCCTCTCTTTCTCTCTCACTCTCACTCTCTCATTCTTAATTTTTATCTAGATCAATGATGCTCAATTGTTTCATATGGCGCTGAAGAAGTCAATAGACGAAACCGGTACGCCTTAAATGTAACTGTTTTAATAGTTTGATTCGTGGAGCCTGGAGGTTCGTGTACTCTCGATACATAAGTCTACCTCATTGTAGCTTCGATGGCCGAATCAGCGTCTCTTACCAACCCCGTCATTCTTTGTCGTCTACAATTAACAGCCGTCGTGATACTTACCTAAGTGTTTATAGTTGCAGCTCCCTTTCCACCGATGCTATACAGGGTGATCCAAAAAATTTGGAACCCCTAACTTAAAATGTCTATAAGTCCGAAAGTATTCATTTTATTGACAAATTGCAAACACCATTAGAAAGAGCATTAAATCCTCTATAAAATCACGTCAAGTTAGTGCATGTATATTGTAAAGCATTGACACAGTATTAGCTTTTAGAATGAGAGTCAGAAAACTGAGTGAAACGAAATCGCCAATTGTTAACAATGCACTGAAGTCCGTTAGCACTCCATCTGTTGTTTTTTGCGAATAACACCACATCCAATTTCAGTTTTATTACATAAAAGTTTACACAGAAGCACACAACAGAACAGATACACGCGTCCTAGCTTTCGCTATTCATCCCAGCATGTGCTCAAACCGAGCTCCGTTGGCCGTCACGCAGGCCTGCAGTCGCTTCGGGACGGCTCCGACGGCGCAGGCCAGCAGTCTCTGGGACAACTGATCCCAGCAGGCTGTCAGCCTTTCCTTCAGCTCCTCTATGGTGCTGATCCTCTGACCTCTATACATAATTCGCTCCAGTTCGCTCCACACGAAGAAGTCCAAAGGGTTGAGGTCAGGACTCTTCGGTGGCCAGGCATCTGGCTCGATGAAGGCCGGGCAGGCCTGTTCCTGAAACTCGACCACTGAGTGGGCCGTGTGGCACGGAGCACCGAATGACTTTTTTTGCTCCTGTTGATATTTAAATTCCTTACAATAGCACGTGAATGAGCTATTTTTATTCATGAACCTCCAACATGCGACATGGTCAGAATAGCAAACCGCAAATCACTGATTTGCGCATAATGTTCAAAACCGTTTCAGTGAGTTTCGTGACACAAATTTTATAGGCATATAACAAGGGCAATATTTATAGTAACAGTTAAGTTCAATCAACTTGGTTTCATAGAGAATTGAACGCTCTTTCTAATGGTGTTTGCAATTTGTCGATAATGTGAAAACTTTCGGACTTACGGACATTTTAAGTTAGGGGTTCCAATTTTTTTGGATCACCCTGTATAGTGGTAGAGTTTTGGTCTATGGTGACTTTTTCTAATTCCGTCTGGCTTATCTCCCCCGAAACGAAATTGGTGACATCCTACAATGTGCATTTTGGGAAACGCAAGGATCGCTGTTGGTATTTGTGACTATAAACATGTGCTTGCTTGTGGTGGCGGTGCTGGTGCCATGCTGGTGAAGGGAGCGTTATTGGTGGTAGGTGCGTTGCTGGTGATGGTGCGTTGGTGGGTGGTGGTGGCGGTGATGGTGCTATGGTGCTGGTGATGCTGGTTGCACAATATTAGAAGCAGCAGGAGCTGCTGCGGTGCCGGTGGCCGCTTCGGGCGCTAACGCTGGGTGCATGTCGACAGGTAAAGAAGATTGGCGGCGGTGGCTTTGGCGAGATTTACGAAGGGCTCGATCTGGTCACCAAAGAGCATGTAGCGCTAAAGTTAGAGTCGGCCAAACAGCCCAAGCAGGTGCTCAAAATGGAGGTGGCTGTGCTGAAGAAACTCCAAGGTGAGTACCGTCTTCTTCCCGTCCTCCGCCAACTCAGTCTGCCTACATACAGTGTATGTACATTGTACATAGATAAGTCTTTCTTTCCCACCCCCTTTTCTCCGTCCCAACCGTTCATGTGGCGTTGGCGGGCCCTCAGTCTGCACAACTGAAAGGAGATGGGTTCCTGATAACGAAACTTGTTTGCCAACCGATACAGAATGCAGTAAAACATCCAGATCGTAAACCACAGTCCACTGTCACAAACATTGCCACACAGTCTCGTCAAAATCGGAAAAATTTCGGTTCGACATCACTTTTTTGTACTCGGCTTTGGATGTTTGCGACTGGTTTGTGGGCCCAACTTATGTTCGACTCGGAGATTTTCCGGCTACGAGGGATCCTACAAAATCCAGATTTGCTTTTTCGAAAATCATTACGAATGAAACGTTGACTAACGTGCAAATAGGTATTGCTCGGCTAGCGATCAATCATATAAAATAAAACGAGCAGACCAACCATTGTTGTTCACAACTGCTCAGCATAGGATGATCGACAGATGAGAGCTCCCCACCGACGGAGCGTCCCGCATTCAGGCTATCCGACTATCGGTCCGTCACCCCGGAGGAGCGCTCGCTTACCCGATCACCGACTATCGGTCAGTCCGCCCCAGAGGAGCTATCGGAACTATCAGTCCAGCCCGGTCTCAGGACTATCGGGCATTGCCCATCGGTCACTCCACCCCGGAAAGACACGGGTGGTTATCGACCCTTTGTTCGATATGGTCTCGGTCCAGACGACAGAGTGGTCTCCGTTCCGGGAGACTACGGACTGGTCTGGTGTCGGCAGGTGCCGACTGGATGAGCCTTGGTCGCCCGGCGTAGATTACAGTCCGGTCTTGGTATTGACTGCAGACTGTCTTGATCAGACTGCAGTTGGCGGGCACAGACTGCTGTATGATCTCAGGGTCAGCCAGCACAGACTGCAGTCTGACCTAAGATTCGGTCGGTCTTGGCCGGCGTCAGGATCAGCGCAAGGCGTCGGGGCGCGATCAGGGCCGTTCCGCTGGCTGCGCGCCTCGCACTGCCGCCGCCGCCGCCGCCGCGAAATGGCCACCGGCCTGTTATGTTTGGACCGCGCCGGCTGGTCGGATCGGGTCGGGAACAGCCGCGAGCGGCCGGCGCCAGACACGACCGAGGCGCATTGCACGTCCCAAACAGCACGGCGAGTCGGCTGGCGCTGCGCCGCCGTGCGTGTAGGCGCACCCGACCTCTTATGACCGGAATTGTTGAGTGTTTGCGGTGACAAGTGCAATCCGCTTCTCGCTTTTCTCAGTACCTGACTGGCGACGATGCTGCGGACCGCCGCTCGTTTGCTCTAGATGATTTGTTCACAAAAATTGACTGATGGATCTTGTTCAGACATTCTTTGTGCGGGGTGATGGCGGTTCATATTGCAGGCTTCGCACACTCTATGCTGAACTATCGCTGGTAAAACTGTACTGGGGCGTGGGCCAGTGGCGGATCCAGGGGGGGGGGGGCTGCGGGGGCTGGCAGCCCCCACCCAAGGAAAACTGGCGCCACTGCGCCTTCGGCGCAGTGGCGCCAATTTTCAATTCGCAACTCATCGGAGTGCCGCATACTAGGACTAGGATGCAAAAATCAGTCGAATAACGTCGTTTCAGTACGCTCCGCACCGATATTTCCAATCGTGTGGTGTCACTGTACATACTGATCCTGGGCGCCTCTTGTCAGGGCCACTGGGCGCCAATATTTCAGCGCCAATACGATGCGGCTATGGCGCCCATCCGGGGCGTGGCGCCCAATTATGACCTGCAGCCCCTCCCCAGTGAAAATCCTGGATCCGCCACTGGCATGGGCTTAGCACCGGCGCTCCTGTGCCGAAGGGAAAAGTTGCCGGCTTGCAAGACACTTATTTAATTTATTCAAGATCAATAAAATTCATTACATTTTCCAACGGCAGCGTTGGGTACGATCGAAGCTGTCGGGTGGTGAGTCCATGGCGTCACGCAACGGGTTGGACGTGGCGTGCGTCCCGGTCCTTTGCCATCCAGTCCACCATTCAGACGAAATTGATAAAATAAATTAATAACGAAAAATGCACATGTTGCGCCGTCGGCACCGCTCTCACGAACCCCTCGACTGTGTTCGCAGGGTTTCGTATCGGTGCCTGTGTCGTGCCCTCTCCTCGCATGTCCGCGGACGGCGTGGCAGAGCTCGGTAGGTGTCAGTCACACTGTCTGCTTCCTGCTCCACGCGGCAGCTTCCTCCCCTAGCCATCTGCACTCGACACGCGGCACGCGCTTCACGCAGTCGAGCGGCTCACTGTCCGATAGCCATCCCACTCATTCAGCCAATGTGCGTCTGTCTGCTCCAAGGAGGCAACGCACCGCGAATAGCGAACCTGCCCTTCCGGGTTCCTTTGCGGCAAAACATGAAGCGATATTGTAAATGAGAAGGATGGGAGATCGAAAATGGCCATAAGAGAATATATGGTCGTTGCCTTTTTTGTAACAATGATAGTATACCATGACAAATAAATTAGGATCGTAATTATTTCTCTCAGCTGGCAGCGCCGTGTGGGCGCCCCAGGGGTCACTGCTGCGCCGTATGGTTCCCGCTGGGGTCACTTAGTTGCATCATACACCCGCCGCTAGGTGTCAGTTACCTGCGTCACGTAACGCTCGCGTAATGCCACTGCGCATTGTTAAATCGCTTCCGGGGGCACGGGTACGGCTCTGTGGAGCGCCTGCAATACCGCTCTGTGCCGCGGGGGCTGCTGCGCCACGTAGCACCCGCGGGACCGCTCCAATCGATCCCGTCGGCGCGGTGGGAAGTGGGCCGCTGGCAGGCTGCCGGCCGCTCTCCCAGTCCGTGGCTCCCTGCGCCCTACTGGGTGGTCACAGCCCTCACGAGTCACCCCCGTCTGGGCGGCACCGACTCGGCAGCTGAGGTCTTGGGGTGCGGGAGGGTCCTGGGACCGGCAGATTGGACGCTCAGCGGCGCAGCAGCTGGGGTCTGTGACAGTTTTGCTGCGCTCGCCGGCGGCCCTCGAACACGCTGAGTAGAGACCGTCGCTTCCTGTTTTGCTGATCTTCCTCGGTAACCCTACTGCTTGTTTCGACAAGTTAGTTCATTACCATTATTTATTTCATGAATATTGAATAAACCAAACGACTACTTGCATCTCAACTTCCATGTGGGACGTGGGTGTGAGTTCATGCACAATGCTAGGTTCAGGGCACACGTCACACACAAAGGAATTGCTTGCTATTCGCTTCATTGCCCGGGTCAAAAGCTTCATAAGCTTCACACTTATGGTTTACACTTACACGCGAGACGGTGGCGCCTATGCAGTGCACCGCCATGTATGTAAATTCCCACACCAGCAGTGCACGTTTCATATAGGTATTTGTTTCCTTACGATGGCATGTGCATTGTGCAGTGCAAGATTACTTTACTAATAGTGCAGTGTGCACCGTCACGGCCTCTACACTACCTGACACCTGCGCCAATGCTAGTTAGTTGCTACGCGATAGCTTTGCTACACCAATGCAACATTGGGACTTCCTTGACCCTAATCAGTTTTTCTTTGGATGACTACCGAACTCCTGAAACCATATTTGGACGCCTGCGGGACTTCTTGAAAGGACCGTCTCGTTCATACGTCGTGGGTAGGTATCTCGTTCCAATAATTGAACGCTCCCTTTTACAAGATTGGAAAGGCCGCGCGGAGTGCGAGGCTGTATGTACTAATAGGTCGTATTGATTCATACGTCCAGCTTACGATGAATAGCTAGGTTGCTGGACTTCCCACGACCAATGCCTTGAACATATGGCAGTGTGATAAGCCTGAAAAACTTGGTGAGCGACGCAGTACTGGACTCCTAACCCCAATTACCAGCATCCCTATCAGTTGAACCCAGGATCCTTTCGAAGGAATCCATTTGCCGTTAACAGTCGTCGTTAAGGATTTGATGAAGCTCTGTAATGCGCTCTAAACCCTCGAGACTCATAAATTTACTCTTACTTTATTTGACTGACGCCTGATTTTAAGCGTTACCATTACGGCCTCCGGATGCCAGCTGTCAGACTGCCGTATCTGGTCACTGGAAGGTCAGGAGATACAGATACTCTGCAGCAGATGGCAGCTATTCATATGGTACTAAGGGTCAGGTGACTGGCCTCTATTGATCAGTGCGCGTTTATGAGAGACTCAATGAGCGGAGAGCTGCTATCGCGACCCCCTGTTGTCTTATTGACATTGGACCTATCACGTAGATACTGGATACTCTGTGCTTTGTTGGAGCCTCCCAGTCAGTCTCCTATGACTGGGGAGCGGACTGTACTTGGCTGTGTGCAGTGTGGGCACGCTTTACTTGACCTTTAAATTAACCTTACTGCCCACGATGTTAGAGATCATACGTGGTTAGGATATGCTCACGAAGTTCTATTTAGCATAATCTTCACTTCTCATTGCGTTCTCTAGAAACATCGAACTTGCATTATTTAATAGAACGATCATAATCATTGTTGATGAAAACTCTGAAACACAGTTAACTCGATAACTTCTGGCTAAAACGTATCATCGATGGAATATACATATATGAACATTATTATGTGACGTTGGACATGGAGAAAAGTCCCCCACTTGTGAATAGGCGATCAAGGTCAGGTAGCAATATCACTGTATGGCGTTGAGACCGCCGAAGGGGCCGCCGCCCGGCCGTCCCTTACCCACACCCCTCTGACCGCCACCTCCCATCGACAGGCCGGGACCACGTGTGCCGCTTCATCGGCTGCGGCCGGAACGACCGGTTCAACTACGTGGTCATGCAGCTGCAGGGCCGCAACCTGGCCGAGCTGCGGCGCTCGCAGCCGCGCGGCGCGTTCTCGCTGTCGACCACACTGCGGCTGGGCCATCAGATCCTGCACTCGATCCAGGCCATCCACGAGGCCGGCTTCCTGCATCGAGACGTCAAGCCGGTCAGTACGCTCGCAGAGACCAGAGTGTGTCGGGCCGCGCTACTCCCAGTGGCACAGACCGGTAGCCACAGGGGCGTGCGGCGTGGGTCAGAGTGTCTCTCAGCCATAGACCTCTACATACCTCTCTATGCTCTCAGCCTTAGTTCTAGCGGTTCTTCTACCCACATAAACAGCTATCGGTGTCCTTCTGCGCTAACAGTCGCATCAATCCACTTTGTTCTTTGCATACAGTTAAACGGTGTCTCGTTATGCTTTTTACATCTCACCAGTATCCCCCCCCCCCCATCGCTCCCCTCTGTCCACTAGTGCCCCAGTGTCTTTCCTCTCAGTCGGATATGCAGCGTCGTTTAGCCTGACTCTGTTATGGGGGATGGGCCTATGGTCCGGCAGTGGGCCGCCACGCCGCGCCGGCCGGCTATTGATCTGTGTCGGCGGCCGACTGGACTGGGCTGGGCCGGACTGGAGGACTATACTGGGCTGGCGGAGTGGGTGGCCGGCTTGACTAGGGTGGGCTGCCGAGGGAGGGCTATACTGAGCTGGTGGGGTGGGTGGATGGGTGGCGGGATGGACTGGGCTGTCTGTGACGGGCTATACTAGGCTGATGGGCGGGTGTCTGGCGGCTGGTGGGTGAGTGAAAGATGGACAGACCTGATGGACTGGGGTAGTGGACTGGGTGGGTGTGTGGCGGGCGGCTGAATGGATGGGGCTGAGCCGTCGGTGGAGGGCTATACTGGGCTAATGGTTGGATGTCTGCCGGACGACTGGATGAACTGGTGGGATAGGATGAGTCGATGACCAACCTGGTATATCTTATTCCTATCAAGAGAACCTGTTAGGCTGTCCTGACGCGCTGTCTTACGGTATATTAGTCATATCGGCTGCCGCCATGTTCTGATTGTTGTGCACCCGTCTTTGCAGTCCAACTTTTCCATGGGTCGCCACCCGCACAACTGTAAGAAGGTGTACATGCTCGACTTCGGCCTGGCTCGCCAGTACACAAACGCCTACGGTGAGGTGCGCACACCGCGCGCCGCCGCTGGCTTCCGAGGCACCGTCCGCTACGCCGCCATCAACGCACACAAGAACAAGGTACGTGCCGCGTGAGGTACCGTGGGTACCGTCCACACTATTCAGGGGCTCTCCTTGACCCTCACTACCAGGTGAATTTGACTGACTGTACCGATAATTGTTCATTCTTCTCACTAGGCTCCCGAGTGGATTTAGAAAGCCAAAAAGTCGTTATCTGTGAATGGGGATTGGGTATCACTTTGCTCAAGAGTGAGGACTACTTCTTAAGGTGGTGTTATCATTGGGCTAGCATTGCTCTTAATTTCGCCATTTTCTTTGCCTTGTTGTGTAGGCTTGTGGAATGAATATCATGAATATCCATAAGAATTAAGATGAAACGAATTTCCCTGACATGGCAGTTGTCAAATTGGGCCCACAGGTGTTTTCCCTCCCATCGCTGCATACCTGAAGGGACCGTTGTCTTTCCGCAGGAAATGGGTCGCCAGGACGATCTCTGGTCCCTCTTCTACATGATGGTCGAGTTCGTCAACGGTTCTCTCCCCTGGCGAAAGATTAAGGACAAGGAGCAGGTGAGACTACTGAAACATAAGCCGCCGTGATCGACCGGTCGACCGGAACCGCGCTCGTCCTGTGTGATAAATTAGTCTTGAACGGTTGGTAACCAACGTTGGTTTGATCTTGACTGGTTGGTGTCTGTGCCTCTTATTGTGAGCCAGTCTAGCGTGGAATCATACGCCTCTGTAACCTCTGTCAGGGGTTCATTGCGGAAGCTAACACCATCATCGCCCTTCCTCCCCAATGCTCTCCCCTCCACCCACTGTGCCTGGAGCGAGCTCTGGAGATCGACCCAGCTCGCCCCGGGCTGATGGTTGTCGATTGTCGGCCTCTGATGCGATCTCATCTCTCCCCCATTTATCTTCCTTGCATCATCACTGGCCTCATTCCGGCGGACTCGCATTAACCCGCGCCTGGGTTCGGCATTTTTCGCAGTGTGGGATTTGGTTTGACCTGATTACACCGCCTGGGCTTACATGGGGTCGAGAAGTCCTAGGTTTATGAATGTTATTGAAATCGGGCGGTGTTTCGTATCGCCGTCTATCGGCTGGACCAGAAAACGTGGTCTGTCAATGACTCATCCCCATCAGCAGCCGGGGGAGGGGCGATGGTTTTAGCGAGTATCGACCGCACGAATCCGTAAATTTCCCTGCCAGTCTGAATAGCTGACGGACTAGACTGCTCCCCGGACTCGACCTATTACCGCTTTGCCTGCTGACTTGACCCTATTCTGACCCGTCCCTGTGCTGAGTTGTGACCTCCCTTTGACCCTTCCCCGTGCCGCCAGGTCGGTGTGATGAAGGAGGAGTACAACCACTACCAGCTGCTGAAGCACCTGCCGTCCGACTTCCGTCAGTTTCTGGAGCACATTCAGGCGCTCGACTACTATGACAAGCCTGACTACGCCATGCTGTCAGGCCTGTTTGAGCGCTGCATGAAACGCCGCGGTGTCAAGGTCAGTAATGCAACGGGTCGTCGGCGGTCGCACTGTAGCACACTCTTTGGTGCTCATTGCGAGGGTTCATGCTCAATGCTCGTGTTCACTGTTCACCGTCTGTTCGGCGTCGACCTGACGCACGTATGTGTGAGTTTGACAGACATCTGACAGGCGTCTGACAGTTGGGTAGTTCTCAGCTCATCAGACGGCTGCTTTTTGTTGGTCTGGACTTTGTGCTTTAAAGCTGTGAGGTCAAGGAAGGTATTTTTCGCTAGCCGACGTTCGTCCAGTTTGGTTGACTTGGGTTTCACAGCATATTCCTGTGACCGTGTTTCTATTAACTATTTACTTGATGTTGACCGCACATTCCCTTGCGTATCCTCTGCGCAGGAGACGGACGCGTTCGACTGGGAGAAGGCGGGTGCCGAGAGCGCCCCGGCCGGCGGCCCGGCCTCCACCCCTGCCATCATCAGTAAACCGGCGGCCTCCTATCAGACCGACCTGGGCAGCGCGGCGTGCGACAACCAGGAGAACCACCGGCCGGCACCGGCCACCTCAGGGCCGCAGCCGCGCGCGCCACCCGCCGCCGACACACGGGATAAGGTAAGGCCGAAAGTATTATGTTAATTGAAATACTATTAATAAGATTTTATTAGGATGACGTAGATGAATGTCACGACACGCTCTCTTGGAGAGGTGGTCTGCGTAGCGAAGGCTCGTGTCGATTTTCCGCTGTGTCACCGTCGTTTCTTCCCTCCCTTTAGGTTCTGGTGGACAACAACCGTAACGCCACCAAAGTAGCCACCAGTGAGGACCCGTCTCCGAAGAAGGGCCGCTCAGACCAGGAGGGTAACGCACAGCGCCGGCCGGCCACCAAGCTGCGCCTGAGTGCGCTGGACACGGCAGAGAGCAACCAGGAGGCGGCGCCCGCCTCGCCGCGGCTCACCGAGGGAGCTCAGGTTAGGGAGAGAGGGAGAGGCCGTGGGGCCGTCCGTTGTTGTTGGTCTTCTCGGATCAGGTATTGTCGTTGGCCCCAGACCAGCGGCTGTATCTGAAGGCCACAGCGCTTCATATACTACCCGCCCGTGCTGTTCGCACCAGAGCGTCTACTGTGCATCATATTGTGCTGCATCTCACGTCATAGGACACATCAGCAAAAAATGGGCTATTTCGTGCCCCGCTGATTGTGCCCTACTGTATTCCTTGTTCCTTTGTCATGCGGGACACTGCTGTGTCTGGTCTCTAACTTGGCTCTCGGCTTTCAGGAGGTGTCCGGCCGCAGCACGGAGGCGCGCACGGGCCGTCTGGACGTGTCCGTTCCCTCCACTCCGCAACAGAGCGGACCGGTGGGGGTCGGAGGCACCCCTCTGACGACGGCTGGCGGGGAGCAGACCCGCGAGACGGGCCGGCGCGAGCGGCGCGACCACCGGCGACGGTTCCACTCTGCCGGCAGCCGGAACCGGTCAGTGTCACGGTCGGTATCGCCTTCTCTCCATCCGTGTGCGGTGCTGTGCTGAGTGCAGTGCTGAGTGCTGCCCAGTCATGTCTGCCTTCGGCTGTGTGTCGCCTACTGATCACTGACCACTCCGGCGTCAGTTGTGCGCTGACCCCACTGACCACTATTGTCTCCAAGGACGTCGTGTTGTCAACTAACCACTGATCATTCCTGCGTTCTGCTGTGCTGCTTACTGATCTTAACCGCTCCCATCTGCTGTGCTGTGCTGTGCAAGGCTGAGCGTGTCCTTTGCGAACGTCTCTGAGTGCCTCTTCCCCTGCCTCTAAGAACTGCTCCTGTATGCCGTGTGCCACTCATTAACCGCTGTCATCTGCGAGTGTGTGCCGTGCTAGATTTGGCAGCCATTTCCGACTCATTTTATCTTGGCTTGATGTTTGTGAGTGGTCTGAGTCCGTCCATGGCTTGATGGCGCTTCATCTGCCGCTGCCCCAGATTGTAAACGTTCAACTTCTTAACATAAGACATGCTCACCCAACGGCAGATACCCTGCTATTGTTAGCGCGAAACACAGACTAGGTGTCACAATTGCTGTAATTTACTTTAGATCTATATGCAACCTGTTACCACTGTTTGATGTTACTGGCACGTTTAGCCCCAGTCACCAATCATGTGGCACTGGATCTTGTTACTGGGCCTGAAAATGCTACATGATTCGTCTCTAACCTGTCTCCAGTCTCTGACCGTGTCCGCCGTCTCCGCAGGCTGAGTTTACACCGGGATGTGAGCGTCACCCAGTTCGCCGTGGCTGACGACGACAACGTGTCTCAGCAGGCCACCAAGGGAGGCGGAGGTAAGATTTCTCACACTCACCTTACCACCCCTCCGGGCTCCAACTGCAGTGTAGTAAGGTGTCACGTGGTAGTTGATGAACACTGATGTTCATAAACGCGGAGTTCATTTATACATACGGGAAGTCTGGGACTGCAGTCGTCTGGCTTACCCTCGCTTCACCGAGCCTGCTATGATTTGCAGCACCTGACCGAGTCGCTGACCCTATCGTCCGCCCTCAGGTATGACGCTGGCCTCGCAGTGGAAGTCTGGTTTCGACGACTCGGAGGCCGAGACGGACCACGAGGCGGCTGAGCAGGGTCTGCAGAGTCCCGAGCACCGCAGGCAGGTGGGTAGTCCGGTTGGCTGGTCTGTTCGATGTTTGTCCTCACTGGCGAGCTGCCACCGGCGGAGCTGGTATGTTCCGTCTACGAACCTCCCAGTATATCGCCGCGTCTATGGGGGTCGCTCCGGCCTTTCGTTATCACATCGTTCATGTTTCGCTCGGTCTTGTATACTGTATGAGTCATTTGACCTTATCCTCCATCCTTAAGTAAACTGTAATGGCAAAAAAAAAAATACAATACAAAAGCGATATATTTCGAGCACTGCTCTTTCTCAATCGGTTCGCAAGTTAGTATAAGTGCGGAACACGTCTCACTTCAAAGTAGCATCTCGTCACATTTGGTCTTGTATAGTCGAACCGGCGCTCTCTCGCCGTGCGCGTCCATGAGTCTTCCTATCGATGGTGCTGACCGGCCCTCCACCCTCGCCAGGCGGCCGGCGACGCTCCCATCGTGGGTCCGGCGGCGCGGCCGGCCGGCACCGGCGCCGTCCCGCCTCCCATCACATTCTTTGTGCCGCTACAGCTCATCAAGTCGCGGCTCCGTGTCATGGTGAGTGGCGCAGCTAGTAACTCGGTAATTGATGGTTTGGCTGTGTAATTGGTAACTCTACTGTTTACGGTCCCAACATCTAGCTGGATCAAACGCCCGACGTAAATGAAATATCGCCACGTGTGCTTTATGGCAACGCGTCAGAGTGAGCACAATAAACGTATGTCATGATGACGGTCATATTTCACGGATCTCTCTCTCTCTCTCTCTCTCTCTCTCTCTCTCTCTCTCTCTCTCTCTCTCTCTCTCTCTCTCTCTCTCTCTCTCTCTCTCTCTCTCTCTCTATCTCTCTCTCTCTCTCTCTCTCTCTCTCTCTCTCTCTCTCTCTCTCTCTCTCTCTCTCTCTCTCTCTCTCTCTCTCTCTCTCTCTCTCTCTCTCTCTCTCTCTCTCTCTCTCTCTCTCGCTCGCATGTGACCTCTGTTGACGTGCTCTGAGCCCACCCCACGACTGACGTCTGCTGACCACTGTACCGCAGGCGGGCGCCGCTCCGACGGCTCCTCTCGAGTACCTTGGTCTGGAGGTGGCCACCGGGCCGATCCACCGGAGCCGCGGTGAAGGCCTACCGCGCGCCTGGTCCAACCCGCAGCTCTCCGCCCGGATACGGTCAGTGGTCTGCCGCCACCCGGCGTCCGCTAAGCCAGCGGCTATCGATGGCATTGGCCATGGCCATGTGTCAAAATGTCAGATACTGATAGTAATTGGGCATTTTTAACACTGTTCAGCATTTTATCGTTATTTTGATGGGACCCTGTCCTCCAAGTTCTGGTGACTTGATGCTTAGCTTTGCTTTATTTTAGGTAATTGGAAGCACGCCGCTGACCCCTGTGCCGCCTCCCTCAGGGCCGGCCTGGAGCCGCCGCTGACTCCTCCCCTCCTCCCACAGAGCGGGCCTGGAGCCGCCGCTGCTGCAGCAGGCCCCTGACCCCCTCCTCCCTCCCTCCCCACAGAGCGGGCCTGGAGCCGCCGCTGCTGCAGCAGGCCACGTTCGATGACGTCGTTTACGAGGTGGACGTGGTCCGTAACGTGGCCGCCGTGGTCTCGCCGGCGGTCCCGGCAGCTCCGGCGGTGGGCGCGGTCCCGGCCGGTCCGGCTGCCGTCCGGTCACCGCCACCGATGGTCAACAGGTACTGGGAGCGCGCATACGCAACTGGTGGTGGTGACAGGGGGTCGTTAGGGGGTGAGATTCAGATAGATAGTGGCAATATCGTACAGGGCTAATGATCATCGACAGGTTATTGGCTGCTCAATGATTAAATTACCAGGCGGCCCCTAAGACGTTTACGGATAATTGACTGGACTAATTGACTGGATAATTGACGTTCTGATTTTCCCCCTTTTTTGATGGTGGTGCCCTCATTTGACGGTTACTGCCCTTCCTCACTGACAGCTCCCAGCCTAATGTCCCTTGACGGCTTTCCCTCTGACGCCGTCTTTCTAGCGGACGCTCCTTTTACCCTCTGACCACACCCTGCCGTGTTCACAGGACTGTCTCGATGGAGTCGGATGTCAGCCCGCACCAGCTGCAGCCCGTCTCGGCCAAACTGGAGATCCGTGTGTTCGACAAGGGCGACTCGCGCCGCTCGGAGGCCGCGCCGCCCCCGCCGCCGCCCCCGCCCACGGTGCCGACAATCGCCGTGGTCACCCCGTCGGCGCCGGCGGCGACTGGGTCCGTGCCGGTGGCCACACCGGTGTCACCCGGCTCCTCCGCGACCGGGCCTCAGAACAGTCAGGTGAGCGTTTGACAAGGTCTCAGAGCGGGAAAAGTTCCGGCAACGGTATAACTTTCCTGTTTCTTTTTCTTTTTCCTGCTTCTTGCTTCCTTCGACTTGTTTCGATAGAAACAGGAAGGTTCCCTTCCCCTTCTTGTGACAATTTACGGTTGCATTGAATTCAACTGCAAACCTAAATGTTACCTACCCATTGTTCTGCAAAGGCTTGTTGGACTGGCAGTCGCCAGGCCGCTGGGCTGTCCTATAACTGCACTAGGCTGTATGTCCCTGACTCTCCTCTTTCCCCTGCTTGACAGGCGAAGGCGGTTCGCGTCGAAGACCGTTCCATCACTCGCTCCTCGTCTCCTCGGCTGAAGAGCATCCTCAAAAACAAATCGGAAAAGAACCTGGCCGGAAAACTGGAGCAGGCTATCGGCTCCGGCGTTTCCAACACCATCCCTAAGAACAAGAGCTCGCCGTGTCTGAACGAGCAGTTCGGTCGATACTTTGAGACGCCGGCGGCGCCCGCCGAGGTGCCTCACATCCAAGTGACTGCGGCGCATCGGGAGCCCCCGGCGCCGCCGCCGCGGCCGGCGCAGCGCACGGCGCGCTCGCCTCCTCCGGCGGCTGGCCGGCGCGGTCCGCACAGCACAGAGTCCTCGTCCAGTCGCAGTCGCGACTCTCCGGCTAAGGCGCCGGCGCCGGCCCAGCCCCCGGCCGAGGAACCGCGCCCCGCCGAACACAAACGCGCCGCCGAGGAGTCGAGCGTGTTCTACGACGCTGCCGACGAGAGCCGCGCGCGTCTGGCCACCTCTCGCAGCCGGTCGCGGATCGACGCCGACGAGACCTCGCGCAACGAGAGCTTCGGCACGGCCGTGCCCGTGGGGACCTCTGAGGCGGCCGATGGAGGCGACTACGAGACGGTTGGCTTCTCGTTTGCTACTGCCCGCGAGAGCCCGCGCACGGTGCGCCGTCGTATCGGCGTGGTCACTCCTCCGCCAGAGTTCCAAAACGACCCGCACGACTCGCAGTCGACTGGGGACGGCACGGCGCGGAACGACTCGTCCGCGGCTGCTGCAGCGGCGGCGCGGGGCCGGCGGCGCAGCGGGGGAGCCTCAGACGCCACCGGCGCTCCGGCGACCGCCCTGAACGGCTCAGCGAAGCGGCACTCGCTGGACAACCTGCTGCTGGACGACTCTGAGCGGAAGATCTCGGTGATCTCCGTGCAGGACCTGGGCGCTGTGTTCCGCGGCCGCTCGCCAGCGGCCGGCAGGCAGTTCCACAGTGACGACAGTCTGCTGGACGGCCGCGAGCGGCCGGCGCGCGCCAACCGCTCCCAGCTCAGTGCCGACCTGGAGGCCGAGAGCGAGGCGTCCGAGCGGCCGGTGGTGACGCGCCGGCGGCACTCGGCGCGCGAGCTGCACTCCACCACGCCGACGTCGACGAGCACGGCGTCGTCGGCGGCCGAGCCGGCGCCGCGGCTGGCGTCCGGTCGGCGCGGCCGCCTCAGCTCGTCGCCGGAGCCGCTGTCGTCTCGGCGCGGCTCGGCGCACCAGTCGCCGCTGTACGTGCCGCCGTCACTGAGCGGCTACAGTCCGCGGCGCGAGCTGCACCCCAGCACCACGGCCGGCCTGACGCGCACCAGCTACAGCCCGTCCAGCTCGTACTACGACTCGCCGCGCTACGAGCCGTCCCGGCTGGCCGTGTCCGGCTGGGGCCTGCAAAAGTCCAGCTCTTCCTCCGCCTGCCACCAGGGCTACCACACTATGCCGTCCCGGATCCGGCCGCCATCCACAGGTCAGTGTCAGTAAACAGATCAGTATCTCTTCCACAGGGCATAACTATACGGTCCTATATGGGTCAGTATCCATCTTATCCATGGGTCAGTAATTCAATATTCGCCTGTACAGGTCAATATCTGCTCCCCCACAGGTCAGTATCGGAGACACAAGGCTTGTAGTTACGTTACCACTCCAGATCAGCCTGAGTTTCCACCTGCTATTCGTTACCAGATGTCTATACTTATCATATCAAATTGCATCACATCTAGCAATGCCCGTAATTGATGCCCGTCGACCATCGAGTAACCGGTAATTGACACCCATCGATGCATCGACCTCAGGCATTCCTCCAGACCAGCCGTACCGGTGCCAATTTGCCGCCTCGTCGCGCTGTCTGCACATCCGTACCCGTACTCGTCTGGCCGCTGACCGCCCCTCCCTCCGCCCCGCAGACCTGTACCGGTACCCTTCGCCGAGTCGCGACGACACCAGTCTGGACGGGTGTACCCCGGCGCTGCGCCGGCGGCGGCAGGGCACCGACAAATACGTCAGCGAGGAGCCGCTGGGGCTGCGGTTTCAGCGGCGCCGCAGCCGGCCGCGGGACTCCACGCCCGTCCAGCCGGCCGTGCCGCCCCGCTCTCGGCAGAGGTGAGTTAGAGGGAGGCGTACAGGGTACAGCAGACAGTTCAGCGTATCAAGGTGGTATCAGGGCAGTATCAAGACAGTTGTTTGGGAGGAATGTACAGACACTGGTGAGTGAGAGAGGAACCGTGTGCAGAGTGTAGACAGTGGTGAATAAGGGAAGAGTGGCTTAGGCAGAGGTGAGTTTAGGAAGCTTCAGACTGGTAAGCAGAATGGAAGAGCTGACGGTGTAAGTGTGTCTGTATGCGCTGACTCAGACCTGTCGCAGTCGATAACGATCAGGTAAGGTCGTGTTTGTGGTGCTTTGCTTATTGAACTGCCTACTAATCCAGGGGGTTGGAGCTTGGGGCTTGTCCACGGGCTGATTACGTATTAGATGTAGGGGAGGGGGGGGGGGGCACTGCTGTTCATGGCTCGCTCTGTAATTTAATAGTGTTGAGTAACATTGCGCTGCTTATCCATTTTATTAACATTTCTTAACTCAGAGTCTGATGTAGGTCATTTTTGGATTTAACATTCACCGGTCTTTTCCATTTCTCAATTCTATATTTATTTAAAAAAAAAAAACAGCTGCGGCAGGGAATTGTCTGATTGGACGGCTATCAACTTGACTGCTCTTCAGATGAGCGTACCTAATCAGCCTTGTTCGTCTCAGGCCGTTTCAACTACTTAATGGCTTTATCATCGTTGAAGTGCGATTAATCAGCATGGTTCGGAAGTGGTCATTTATAAAGGTCTATCTATCGAAAGCTGTCCAGTTCAGTTTCTCTGCTGTACTAAAGCGCCGGTCAGATAAACTGATATTATACACTCTCAGGTTGTGCCGTCCCCTCCGCCTCTCTCTGCTGTAACCCCGCATGTGTGGTCTGTGCGGCCGCTGTCGGCCGATGTGCACTCACTAACCCGCTCGGTGCGGCGCCAGCGGCTCGGGCGGCCGGCCGCGACCCTCGGACGGCCACAGCTCCGGGGTGAGCACCGAGTCGACCCGCTCCGAGGGCGGCGCCGGCGGCGGCGCGGCGGCCGGCCGACGGCGCGCCGCCGCCGACAGCAGCGATAGCGACAGCCTGTCGGCGCGCGAGGCGGCACCCGTGCCGCACCCGCCGGCAGGGCCGCCGCCGGCCGGCGCCGAAATATCGGCCAGGTGAGGGACTCGCATGGGTCACGAGGGACGCGTTCGGGTCTCGGAGGGACTATAATAGGAGTCACCACTGGTAGTTTTTCAGTTTCAACCGAAAGTGTAATGTACCGCAGGTAGCTGGTAGTAAATACCTGGCTTAGCTTTCGCCGTTCTCCCAGGCTGCCGTTTTGTTTGTGTAAAGCTTTACTGACCGTATGCATCGTGATTTGTTCGAACCGACTTCTCCCGAGTTTAGAGGCGAAAGTCTTTACTGCAAAGTCACATAGTCTAGCCGACTTCTGTTCTGTTACCGCTCTGTTTGCGCATATTTTCATCTTTCATTCCGACAGAGTTGTTCGTTCAATGTATGCCGTTGTGTGGCCGCTGCCGGTGCCCATTCACTGGTAGAGGCAGGCCTTATTTCGCAGACGCCGGCGGTACCGGCCTGCCGGCGTGGACGAGGTGTCGCCGCTGAACCACGTGCTGCCGCCGCGCCACTGAAAGACCGGCCCACAGCCCGCCGTCTTCCGGCCCACCGGCAAGCAGTTGTTACGATGCACATGTGCTGATGCTAGTCTGACAGCCTCCTTGTGGAAGTGGGCGCCTCTTTGAGGAGATTTGCGAGTCGTGTGTCGACTTTGGAGCAAATGTGACCTGGTTTTTCGAGGCCTGTATGTGTGGGATATGTGTGACAGAATCAGGAGAGAGCGAAAGAGGGAGACAGGGGGAGAGCAGTTGGTTACACTGGCATTCGCTGGTAACGTTATATATTGATGTTGAAATGCTTCTACCTACCATCTGAGGAGAATGTTCTATATAAACATTGGACGCGCTGGTGACGTGTTATGCTACGTTGCGGGGCTGTTTTTTTTTTCTTTGTCAGTGTGTCGGGGTACGGGGCGTGTCTATTTATTGTGCTGCTCACGGCCCCGCGGGGCGAGAGAACCAGATGCTATGTAATGCGCTGTTGACGAGATACTTTTTAAGGGCCGCGCGCTGGCCGGCCGGCCCTTCGCGGCGGCCGACTCTGGGGTCGGGCCCGGCTGCGGGTGCCACAGAGGCGACAGCGGCGCGGTGCGCCCGATCTCGCCCCGAAACGAATCTAGTCCCGGATAGTCAGCGAGCGCCGGCCGCGAGCGCCGCCCCTACTCATACTCATTAGGTTGTCTTTCAACTGGCGGCCGACCGGGCGCGCCACGGGTCGCCGCCGGCGCCGCCGCGGACGACCTCTCTGTGATGGCCGCCCCGCCACTCTGTTTCTGGCGTTTGGTGAGACAATACAGCCGCTTTGCCATGGGTATGTCGTGTGTTTGTGCGCGTGCGATGGCTAGAGTGACGTCGCTGAAATGTCTTGGCCTGGTACATACGTCCTTGATAAATCGTGTGTCTAGAAGTCCGCATGGGTCGGATGGTCGGGCTGAAGACGATGGGGATGAGGTACAACGACAGCAGGTATGATAGGATGGCTAGATTGGCAGTATGCGTGACACTGACAAGTACAGCGAATGGCAATGCATATTGCACGGATACTACTAAATAGTCGCATGCAGCCCGTGCTGGACAGTTACTGGAGAAGCAATGACGAGCAATCAGCGTGGGTCGACGGCCGGACAGCCGAAATAGAGAATCTTGCTATCATGCAATTGCCCCGCGAAGGGATGAAATTCGAGCCGGTTGGGCTGGGTGATAAAACAACAGTCACATGCAATCTATGTCAAATTATAACCTTCCAATGCCTGAGTCGGTGGGAGACAGTTCTATCATAGGCGGCGGAACGGGGAGGGCACCGGGGCTGGGGGCACCGTGCCCCCTTTGATTTTTTGCATTTTAACATTAGCCCTATGGGCGTTGCATGGAAAGAATGGGACCAAAAGTCGGCGGTGCGGCACCCCTCCCCCTTAAATGAAGGTGTTCCGCCTCTACTGAGTTCTATCGAACGCCGAGCAGCTTCAAAAGGCCATAATATTTTAGGCGGGAAGTGAAGCTGCTAATATTTCTGCTGGTTAACGACAGCCTACTACGTTAGCCCGCGCCCGGCTGGGGGTCCTGGATTTCCACGCCCTGCAGCTCGTGAACGGGGTCTGAGTGCCACGGAGAGAAAAAGTACAGGACCTTCTCCCCAATATGGTAGCACAAGATCTTTCATTTGGTAGCTTTGAACTTCGACGAATGCGGCTCACTAGTGCTAAGAAAATATTGTTGCCTTTGTTTTCTTCTGTAGTTAAAACAATTTGATGTCCAATTTAGGGTTTGTTGATTGTCAGTTTCCAAAAAATTAAGACTATATGTTAATTTCAGCATAATCTGGTTGAGGAACAAACTAAAGGTACGCTCACTGCAGGGTTTGGACACATGCTTTGATGGGTTCAAAGATGCGTCGGGACAATGGGCATGTAACATCAGAGATATTGATTGGAGGTGTGAGAGGAGCCTCCCAGGAGCTCCCCCTGACGTGGAAACCTTCCTTCAGGGCATCAGGGACTGCCTCCTTTTCCAGCACATCCTTGAGCCTACAAGGTACAGGCAAGGTCAGACTCCACAAATATTAGATTTGGTTTTTACAAACGAGGAAGACATAATTCAAGATGTGGAATTCCTTCCGGGACTTGGACAAAGTGATCACATTTCTATTCACTTTTCAGCAGTTTGTCAAAAGCCTGAGACACGGGAACATAAACACTTCTACCAAGACTGGAAGCATGCGGACTTCAACAGGATTAATGCTAGACTACAATGTTACAAACTTGATGAGAAGATATCTATGCAAACTGTACAGCAGGCATGGGGTACAATAGCTGAAGCTATAAGAAACATCATCCAGGATGAAGTTAAAATAAAACGTAGAAGAAAGAAGCTTCAATCATATATGAACCAAGAGGCTCTTTCTCTCCGTAGAAAGAAAGAGAGGTTATGGGAAAAGTATTGTATTACCAGACAAGACTCTGACTTCAGAAACTTTGCCAAACTCAGGAACCAGCTAAGAACATTGACAAGGAAGCTTAAGTTTGAGATGGAAAACAAAATAGTAAGCGCCATGAAAACCAACAAGAAGTCCTTCTGGAAATATGTGAACAAGTCTCTAAAGGTTAAACCTTCTGTAGAGACACTGAAACTGGACGATGGGAGAATTGCTCAAACAGACCGACAAAAATGTGAAGCCTTGAATGCATTCTTCCAAAGTGTGTACACAAAGGAGAACCTGCAGGACATGCCAACACTAGACACCAGACCATATGGGAGTGTCCTTGAAGACATCAATATTAAAAGTGAAGACATCAAGAAGAGGCTAGAAGATCTGAAACCGGGTAAGGCCTCCGGTATTGATGGAATTCATTCCCAATTCCTGAAGGGAACTGCACAAGCACTATGTAAACATTTTAGGATATTATTCCAAAAGTCACTCGACTCGGGACAACTGCCAAGCGACTGGAAAATGGCTCTGGTTAAACCAATATTTAAGAAAGGAGACCGCCACGAAGTTGGTAACTATAGACCCGTAAGCCTTACGAGTGTTGTTTCAAAGGTCATGGAGGGTATTGTAAAACAAGCTATAATGGCACACCTGCTAGATCAATCACTACTCTCAGATTTTCAATATGGTTTTGTCCCAGGGAAGTCGTGTGAATCACAGTTGTTGTCTTGTATGAATCAGTGGACAAAGTATCTAGAACAAGGTCAGCCAGTAGACGTCATTTACACTGATTTCAAGAAAGCCTTTGACGCGGTCCCGCACCAACGACTACTGAAGAAGCTTGGTGCGTATGGGCTAGGACCAAAAGTCGTTAAATGGCTCGAAGGGTTTCTCTGTGGAAGAAAACAAAGTGTCTCTGTGAACGGTATTATGTCTGATTGGGTGGACGTCACAAGTGGAATCCCACAAGGTACTGTACTGGGACCTTTGTGTTTCCTGCTCTATATAAACGACTTGCCTGAGGTGATGGAATCAAGCAGCATTCGATTGTTTGCAGATGATGCAAAGATTTTCCACCCAGTTACTTCTTACCAGGACAGTAGGAACCTACAGCTGGACCTTGATAACATCCTGGCATGGACACAATACTGGCAGCTACCATTGAATCTCGACAAGTGCTCAGTAATGCATCTCGGGCCAAAAAACCCACTTCATAAGTATACACTGGGCCAAGTGCAACTCAGGGAAAGCACTTCTGAGAGAGATTTAGGGGTAACGATGGATAACGATTTGAAGTTCCATGTGCATGCTGCAAGAGTCGCAAAGAAGTGCAAGATGCTTCATGCAATTATCAAGCGGAGTTTCACTTACTTGAACAAGGACATGATTTCTAAATTGTATCGAACACTAATACGACCTGTACTTGAGTATGGCAACTGTGTGTGGGGACCTACCTTCAAAGGAGACCAAGACTTACTGGAGAAAACGCAGAGACGATTCACAAAAATGGTCCCAGGTTTGAGCAATGTCCCATACCAAGAAAGGCTGACAGAACTGAACTTACCTACACTCAAGTACAGAAGAACGCGCGGTGACCTAATAACATTGTATAAACTTATTACTGGGAAACTCAAGACGGAAGCTGATATGTTGCAATTTAAACCAGAAGCAAGACATACAAGAGGACACACGTTACGGATCGCAAAAGTTAGTGTAAAGAAACGAGTACGAAGGTCTTTCCTCACACATCGGGCATGTAACTTATGGAATAGCCTTCCAGAGAAAATTGTGAGGTCAAAATCAACTTTGCTGTTTAAAAGAAGTGTGGACGAATTTTTGAAGAGTGAGAGGCTTAAATTGGAGTAAATGCCACCGAATCGAGGAACTGGATGACAAAGCATTATATCCTTGAATTATCCCACGATCATCCTCACCCAGATCTGCCATATACCCACTCAATCAGTAAGGAGTAATGGAAGTTACAGGCAGTACGCCTTCTTCCGCACATACAAGACTTCAAGACTTCAAGACTTCATGTATGTTATTGTCATAAAATATTGAATATTTCATATCAGAATGATTTTCGAAGGATAAGAAAATGACTGATGAATTGAATTATACAAATTTTAAGCAATGGGTGAAAGTTAATTATCTTTGACATGCCAAAATTGGCAAAATCCCTCGACTCCTTAATCAATTCGGCTTGTTCGTATCCATCCACCGTAACAATCTGAGTCTATAGGGTTGTTGTTGTTGTTGAAGAGTTAGGGCGCGCAGGAGTCTATAGGGAAAAGACAAGCTTTGTGATACAGGGTATATTGAGTGAAGGGTAGGACGAACTTTGGTAGGAATTTCTAGGATAACTACTAGAAAACCTACTATATGTGGTCGGGACTAGCAAAAAGTTAGTTCAAACTAGAATATGGTAGCGCTTATGGTGGCAGTCGTGACGCGCACGTGACATTCATTTCTTAAATTTCTTAAATAACAGGTTTTAGGGGCCGATTAGTGCGCAGATACATTCAATTAGCTATTCATAATTGATTACGCAACCATTCAAGATTCTACATCATTCAATTCTAGCCGAAATCACATGGCGCTCCCAGGATTCGAACTCACGACCCTCGGATCCGTAGCCCGATACGCTACCGACTGCGCTACCGAGGACCGCGCGCCGACGATCGGAGAGGCGGATCGCGGGTGCTGGCGTGCAGAGAAATCTTACCCTGTACGCCGTAGAAGATCGGCTGGGTTTCGTGAAAAACGGTAGAGGAATTGTCGAAAGAAAATTCATCGATCTATCATTTGAGACTAAGAACTATTGATTCCTTCAAAGGTTGACCGAGATATCGCTCGCCGAAAACAGGCCATTTAACATGTAAAACCCTATGGGCTGGTAGGAAATGTACGCCGTGGAGCAGCAGTGCTACCA